TTTAGGTCTTATTTTTATTAGAAAAAGAACTTTTAGGGCTTATTTTTATTAGAACAAGAACTTTTAGGGCTCATTTTTATTAGAAAAACAACTTTTAGGGCTTATTTCTCTTAGAACAAGGACTTTTAGGGCTTATTTTTATTAGAATATCAAGTTTTAGGTCTTCTTTTTATCAGAACAAGAACTTTTAGGGCTTATTTTTATCAGAATAACAACTTTTAGGACTCATTAGAACAACTTTTAGGTCTTATTTCTATTAGAACAAGAACTTTTAGGGCTTATTTTTATCAGAAGAACAACTTTTAGGTCTTACTTTTATTAGAACAAGAATTTTTGGGTCATATTTTTATCAGAACAAGAACTTTTCGGTCTCTTTTTTATTAGAACAAGAACTTTTAGGAATTATTTTTATTGGAAAAACAACTTTTAGGTCTCATTTTTATCAGAACAAGAACTTCTAGGGCTCATTTTTATTAAAAAAACAACTTTTAGGGCTCATTTTTATTAGAAAAACATCTTTTAGGGCTTATTTCTCTTAGAACAAGGACTTTTAGGGCTTATTTTTATTAGAAAACCAACTTTTAGGTCTTCTTTTTATCAGATCAACAACTTTTAGGGCTTCCTGGATGAACGTGGTGTCCGGAGATCCCCTCCCCCAGCGATGCCCCCTTTCCCTGCTCTTTCCCAAGGGATTTTTTTAGCAGGGAAAAGGCCCCTTCCCTTGTCTCCCCCCCCCGGGGGTTGGGAAGGTCGGGAATTCCCAGTTTTCCGGCCCCAGGGGTGCCCTTGTCCCCGTTTTCCCCCAGGCCATGGCCATCATCAACGGCTGCCTCTACGTCTTCGGCGGCACCACCGGCTACATCTACAGCACCGACCTGCACCGGCTCGACCTCAACACCCGGGAGTGGGTCCAGCTGAAGCCCAACAACATGTCCTGTGACATGCCCGAGGAGAGGTGGGCACGGGGGACCCCCCCTGGCAGGGGTTTTGGGGTCGTTGGCAGGCCAGCAGGGATTTGGGAATGCGGGAAGGGCTTTGCCGCGACGGCGCTGATCCCGACGCCGGGGGAGCTGGGATGGGGGGGTGATCCCTGGGTTTGTTTTATGGTGAGGAGAACATCACAGGTCGTGGGATGGTTTGGGTTGGAAGGGCCAGGGATCAGGGCTGGGCCCAGAGAGTGGTGGGGATGGAGCTGCTTCCAGCTGGGATCAATCCCCAGGGATCAGGGCTGGGCCCAGAGAGTGGTGGGGATGGAGCTGCTTCCAGCTGGGATCCGTCCCCAGGGGTGTCCCCAGGGATCAGGGCTGGGCCCAGTCCTGTTTAATGTCTTTATTGATGATTTAGATGAGGGGATGGAGGGAACCATCAGCACATTCCAGGTGAGCCCAAGCTGGGGGAGTGTTGATGTGCTGGAAGGCAGGAGGGCTCTGCAGAGGGACCTGGCCAGGCTGGATCCATGGGCTGATTCCAAGGGGCTGGATCCCACATTGCTCCAGCCTGGCCTTGGACAATTCCAGGGATCACCTTAGCAAGGAAAAGTGTTGGAATGTTGCTGGATGTGGATCCCAGATTGCTCCAGCCTTACCTTGGACACTTCCAAGGATCACCTTAGAGAGGAAAAGGGCTGGAATGTTTCTGGATGTGGATCATACATTGCTCCAGCCTGGCCTTGGACACTTCCAGGGATCACCTTAGAGAGGAAAAGGGCTGGAATATTCATGGATGTGGATCCCAGGTTGCTCCAACCTGACCTTGGACATTTCCAGGACTCGTTTTAGTGAGGAAAAGGGCTGGAATGTTGCTGGATGTGGATCCCAGGTTTCTCCAGCCTGGCCTTGGACACTTCCAAGGATTGTCTCAGTGAGGAAAAAGGCTGGAATGTTTCTGGATGTGGATCCCAGATTGCTCCAGCCTTACCTTGGACAATTCCAGGGATCACCTTAGCAAGGAAAAGTGTTGGAATGTTGCTGGATGTGGATTCCAGATTGCTCCAGCCTGACCTTGGACACTTCCAAGGATTGTCTCAGTGAGGAAAAGGGCTGGAATATTGATGGATGTGGATCCCACATTGCTCCAACCTGACCTTGGTGAGGAAAAGGGCTGGAATGTTGACTCTGGAATCCTGGTGCTCCATAAATCCCTGGGTTTAACTCCCTTTAATCTCCCAGAAAACCAACCTCTGCAATCCAGGGAATCTCCCCCCCCTCCCAAGGGACAGCCAGGCTTGGAGTTCCTGCTGGGATCCCTGGGCTTGGAGGGTTTTCCAGAGGTTTTTCCCATCGTTCCCTCACCGCTGGATGTCTCTGGGTGTCCTTTGCCCCCCCAGGTACAGACACGAGATCGCCCACGACGGGCAGAGGATTTACATCCTGGGAGGGGGAACCTCCTGGACGGCCTATTCCTTGGACAAGGTGAGGCAATTCCAGCAGGGAATTCCCTTCCACTGCCAGAGATCTGACTTTTGTCTTGATTTGGGGGTTTTTTGTTCGTTTGTGGGGTTTTGTTTCATTTTTTGGGGGTTTTTTTGGGCTTTTTTGGGGGTTTTTTTGTTACTTTTCCTGGGGTTTTTTTAATGTTTTTTTAATTTTATTTATTTTTATTGTCACCAAAAAAAAATGAAATGTCCACTTTTCCTTTCCATTCCTGTCACTTATTTTCATTTCAATCCACGTAATCTTATTTTAATTTAATTTAATTTAAATTAAATTAAATTAAATTCCACTCACATCCCTAATTGTCATTTCACGGAATCTCATTTTATTTCATTAAATTCCACTCACATCATTTATTTTCATTTCAATTCGTGTAATTTGATTTTATTTCGGTAAATTCCATTCCTGTCACTTATTTTCATTTCAATTCACAGAATCTTATTTTAATTTCATTTAATTTAAATTAATTTAAATTTAATTTAATTTCATTTTAATTTAATTTAAATTCCATTCACATCACTAATTGTCATTTCACAGAATCTGATTTTATTTCATTAAATTCCATTCACATCATTTATTTTCATTTCAATTCATGTAATCTGATTTTATTTCATTAAATTCCATTCCTGTCCCTTATTTTCATTTCA